GTCTGTAGCTGCCCGGCTGTCAAATGCAGGGGATGGGGGAAGAGGGACTGGCTCCGGGGAGATCTCTCAAGGCAAGGGGGATGTCATTTGCCTGCATAGTCAGCTGGAGCTTGCTTGTGAGGTGTTGCCAGCCAGCCCGCAGGGCGAGGAGCCATGGGATGGGAATGCTTTGGCACAGAGACGGCACCTCCCTATGTGCTAGCAGAGGAATAGGTTTACGTGCTACCTGCTGGGTGCATTGGCACGAGGCCGTTCGGGTGCTCTTCACTGGCGGACTCCCCTGTCACAGGAGTTGTCAGATGGCTCTTCAGATCATTTGTGGCCATCAAAAAGCCCCTGGCAAGCAATTGAGAGCACAGGCATTGGGGGCTACGGCGCCGATCCGATAGCCAATGCTGGCAACTTCCTGGTCGGCCTCCCTAACATTCATCCTTGTCGTTCCAGTGGAATAAAACCTCGTTCGTTGCTCCCCACCCCACGTTGCTTGGCGGGCCTAAGAGGGGGCTGCCTTGCTGTGGTGGGGTGTACAGACAGATAATGGGCTTGCGAAGTGCTTGGGTGCAAGAGGCCCGGGCAGCCTGTTTCCCAAAGGCAGGCTAATCCTTCCTAGAGAGCCAGTCTTGAAGCTGCTTTTCCCCTGCGTCCCCATTTTGCACGTTTCTCTGCTGCCTCCTTCTCACTGCATGTGCGACTTGGACGCCCTCCCATCGCCTGTCGCCCTTCTGGATCCTCCCCTCTGGCAGCTTCGGTCCCACAGGTGGCTCCTGGGATGGTCTTTGTGTCCCAAGCAGCGAGCACTTAACTGTTAAATTATTGTTCTCTTATTCAAATGTTGTGTAGCCACAGCCTGCTGTTGGGATGGGCTCCCCAGGCTAGAGCCCCGCCCACCAAATGGAGCCCCACCCATCTTTGGGCTCTGCAGCCATAGTCCTACTGCAAAAGAAGCTCTGTTTGGCTCAGGCCCTGCAGGACAGCTCCTATGTCCCCACTTCCCCGTGGCATGGTTGTTCACAAACAATGGCAGCTTTTGTAGCTCTGCCTTCTTTCCTGCTCCTCCAATGGGGGGAACTTGCTGGCTCTCCCTCGCCCATCAGCGCATAGGAGCCGCTGTACTGTCAGGCTGCAAGATCTTGTCCCGAAAGCACAACTGCTAGGGAATAGCATGGGTTGGCTTGCTTACCCAGCTCTCTCTCTAAGAATGGTACAAGCTCCTACATCTTATAGAAAACTACCAGGAAGCAAAAGCCCTGAGATCCAGCTCCTGTGGGAGCAATGCATGTGAGAAATGGTTAATGACCAGGAGACAGAGCGTGTGATCACAAGTTGGTACAATATTTTTATGTGTGTGGTTCAGGCATGAAGGAATGAGTCCAGCCCAGGGGAAATCTAAGCTCGGGTAAGGGGCATATATGTGTGAAGGGAGTCTCGGGGAATTCTGCTGTCCTGAAAAATACACTGACAAAAAAACACTGTTCAGGCAGAGCAGCATCCTGGATAATTTCACACTCTCATGCCGGTTTGCCAGCGCAGTGTCACTTTACAGAGGAAATTTGAGAGTACAGATACAAATTTCCCTCTACATGCAGTTAGCATGGAAATGAATCGGAGACACATTGACGTGGCTGGTTGGAGACAGGGGAAGTGCAGGTTTGCAGGGCCCAGAAAGATGATTCCCCTGGAGTCACAGGCAAAGCAGCTTGTGGTAGGGTAGGACTGTCTCTGTTGCTTGTATCTCAATAGCTCCTAGAAGCCTCATTGTGCTGTATGTGGGCAAAATGTGAGACAGTTAACAGTTTATTTATCTATTTAACCTATGGGGTTAAATAGAGCAGGGTGGGAAGAAAACAGTGTTATTACCCCACTTTACAGAAGGGGGTACAGAGATTAAGTGACTTGCCCTAGGGCACAGAGAGAATCTGTGGCGGAGAGTAGAACTGAACCCGTGTCAGTCCTCAAGACCGGCTGTCCCTTTACTGCTTTGGACAGGCTGAATTGGTGAGCTCATGGCAGTCTTATGGGGCATCTCTTGCTCCTTGGGGGTTCAAACATACAAGGTGCTTAGCATCTGCAGCCCCTGTTGATTTTAATGATTGCTGAGGTGCTCAGCATCACCAGGAGTTGCTTGGCTCCTTGGGGAAGCTCCTTGGCAGTGACTCCATCTCCAAATTCCAGCCCTAGTGAACCCTCCCAAATGCTCACGCCCTTTTGGGTGCAGCCAGTTCTCGCCAGACATTCCTTGCAAGCCAGATGCTTTGCTTAGTTGCAGGCAGGTTCTGTCCTGGCAGCTTTTCAATGTGAAGCAGCCTCCAAAACCTCACAAAGGAGTTAGAAGAGCAAGTGGAATTATCATCATAGATAAGGCCAGTCCTTTTTTGCATTGCCAATACTCGACTCTAAGACACTGCCAACACCTAATGCTTTCAAGGAATGTGAATGGTGTTCAGAACACACCTGGCCAGCTGTGCCATGAGATACATGGGAATGTGTGGAGCATTGTTGCACATTGGCAAATTTTTGGTGTTTTCTTAAATACCTGGACACGTTAGCTCCTTGAATCATGTTATTACATGCTAATCTTAGTTTACATGGAAAATAAAATAGTTTCTAGCCCTGTGGATTGTGGAGAAAAACTCAAAACCGGAAGTCTAATAACTCAAAAGACTAAAGGCCAATGAAAACCTCAGATCTGTTGTATTTTAAAATCTCACGGGGTGATAAAAGATTTTTGAATGCTAAGGATAGGCAGTGTGATATAGGCAGGTGCTTCAGTTCCAGAGTATTCTCTGAAGTCTATGATTGGATTGCCCCACCCCCTTTTTAATAGCGAGGTGCAGAGATGCTACATAATTATGGATCCTATTTGTGATGGAGTCACGGTGATGGGCTGTGTAATTAGAAGGCATTTATAGAGTCATAGAACCCTAGGGCTGGAAGAGACCTCAGGAGGTCATCAAGTCCAGCTCCCTGCCCAAGGCAGGACCAATCCCAACTAAATCAACCCAGCCAGGGCTTTGTCAAGCCGAGACTTAAAAACCTCTAGGGATGGAGATTCCACCACCTCCCTAGGAAACCCATCCCAGTAAAGACTGAAGCAAAGAAATCATTTAGTTTCTCCGCAATGGCTTTATAGCCCTTGATTCCTCCTTTTATATCTCGATCATCTAGGGGACCCACAGGTTTTTTTAGCAGGCTTCCTGCTTCTAATGTACTTAATAAACATTTTGTTATTTCTTTTTGAATTTTTGGCTAGCTGTTCCTCAAAATCTTTTTTTGCTTTTCTTATTACATTTTTACACTTGATTTGACAGTGTTTATGTTCCTTTCTATTTATCTCACTAGGATTGGACTTCCACTTCTTAAAAGATACCTTTTTGTCCCTCACTGCTTCTTTTACATGGTGGTTAAGCCACGGTAACTCTTTTTTAGGTCTCTTGCTATGTTTTTTAATTTGGGGTATACATTTAAGTTGGGCCTCTATTATGGTGTCTTTAAAAAGTTTCCATGCAGCTTGCAGGGATTTGGCTCTAGTCATTGTGCCTTTTAATTTCTGTTTAACTAACCTCCTCATTTTTGTGTAATTCCCCTTTTTGAAATTAAATGCCAGGATGCTGGACTGCTGAGGTGTTCTTCCCACCACAGGAATGTTAAATGTTATTATATTATGGTCACTATTCCCAAGCGGTCCTGTAACTCCCCCTAAACGGTAAGAGCTAGGACCACCAAATTTGGTAGGCACCTCCTTTTATCATAACTTAAAGCAAGGTCAGTGTTTGGTTATGCCAGGACAGTGAGATGTGCCTTGAATGGGATTGTTTCTCATCAAATGGAAAGGGAGAAGTATGATAGGAGGGACAGTTATACTCATGAATGACCACAGGGGGCAGCAAACACCCCAGCATCAGGGAGCAGCCAGCGGCTGCCCCCACCCGCTGCCATGAACTCCTCCTCACTCCCCAATCCTGACTCCTGCACCTCCACACCTCTAGCCTCCTGTCCTGAGCCCCCCACACCTCCAAGCCCTGCCCCGAAGGACCAGAGGAACGCTGCATAGGTCTTCTAGTAAAGCAGTGCTTCAGGTCTTGTAATTTTGGGTGACTTTATTTTCTAATAGATACTTGGAGGGTTTCTCTCCTTTGTTGTTTACCCAGTTGCGATTAGAATGGAGGAGCTTGGAGAGATCTGCTGTGGAAGGGGGCAGCGTTCACACACTTTGTCGAGTTGCTGGAGGAAGGAGGGAACAGAAGGTTGTGCCCTAGGGTTTGTGTTCGGTTGTGACTAACAACTTCTCCTGGGGGAGGGAGGGAGGCGCTTTCTGTGCAGACAGACATGTCTCTCTCAGGGCTCAGGGGTCTTCCATACATCGATCCTGGTCCTTTTCTTCTGCTTCCCTGCTCCTCACCAGAGCCCTTCAATAAGCAGCAGGATCAGATTTCCTATGAGGCAGCTGTGACCAAGTGGAGGCCCAGTTAGCAAGAACTACCACTCCCAGCATGCAATGCGTCTCCTAGGTCTGAGTAGCCTTGAGCTGGAGAGACAAGTGACTGGAGGAAAAGGGCTGGCTCTGGAGAGGTGGTGGCTGGCCCAGAAGGCCAGTCAGAGGACGAATGCCATCCCAATTGGTGGAGGGAGAGGTTCAGGTTGGTTATTAGCTCCTGGAGCTGACGTGGCGCCTGACCCTATGATCCCACAGCATGGAGGACCCCCGTTAACATGGGTGTAATGCAGGCAGCATCAGCCCTGACAGCAAGGAAGATGTGTTTCCTAGTAGTTAAAGCATGTGGCTGGGGTGGGAGGAGACTTACACCCATCTGTATAACCATAATTCAGCTTCATGGCTTTATGCCTCAGTTTCCCCCATGTAAAAAGACACTGTGGGTTGCACCGGCTGGGAGCTAGGGTCTAGTGTTCATGCCTGTTGAGCTCCAGATGAAAGATCTGGATAGCTGATACCCTCTTTATGCCTCTGTTTAATGGTCTTTCTCTTTCTCTCTCTTTTCAAGGCTTGTGGAGACAGGAGCAGAGGGTTTGGGTTGGTTTGGTTTTTTTCCCACCCTCTTCTCCTGAATGTAAAGTTATGCAAAGCCCAGAGCCAGACGGGATCCTCCAAAGGGCTGGGCAAAGGACCTGGTAAAAAACCAGCCCACCCTAGAAACCTCCTGGGCTTGGCTATCTGCTGCAAGATGGATGCTGGCGGAGACCAGAGCTGCTGATGGGAAGGTGACCTAGAGGGGGGAAGGAAACTATGCTGCGTCCCCTTGGAAAGGCTGCAGCCGGACACGCTGTCGCCTCTTCCTTGGCTGTCTGAGAAGTTACCCACCCCACCCCCACGCTCCTTCCTTGGTGAGCTCGGTGCTGGGCTGCGGAGCCAGGGAAGCGACAGGGGCTCAGTGCCGCATGGCTCTCTAGGCTGTGTCGGGGTTTCGGCGAGTCATTGGCGATGCCTGGGAAGAGCCGGGGATCTTTTTGCATGGAGCAGCTCTCCGTCTGCCTACTCCTGAGTGCTTGCAGCTGCTGGTGGAACCCAGCTGGCTCGGCTAAACCGAAGGGCCAGGGGCATCCGCACATGAACTCCATCCGCATTGACGGGGACATCACTTTGGGAGGCCTCTTCCCGGTGCACGGCCGGGGGGCCGAGGGCAAGGCCTGCGGTGAGCTGAAGAAAGAGAAGGGCATTCACCGGCTGGAGGCTATGCTCTTCGCCCTGGATCGCATCAACAACGACCCTGACCTGCTCCCAAACATCACCCTGGGCGCACGCATCCTGGACACCTGCTCCCGGGACACCCACGCCTTGGAGCAGTCGCTGACCTTCGTCCAGGCCTTGATTGAGAAGGACAGCACTGAGGTGCGGTGCATCAACGGCGGGCCCCCTATCATCACCAAGCCGGAGCGCGTGGTGGGGGTCATCGGTGCCTCCGGCAGCTCCGTCTCCATCATGGTGGCCAACATCCTGCGCCTCTTCAAGGTAACGCCCCCGGCTCACGGTCCCTCACCCTGCCCTGGGGGGTCCTCTCACACCTTCCCTCTGTTTTGGGATGAGGGAAAAGCACACCTGGGGTGACTGATGCCGCCTCCTTGCTGTAGCAGCTAAATAACCCACCAGCAACCGTTTTATCGATAATGGAATGTACTAACTGCTCCCTCTCAGGCAGGGGAGGCCAAAAGGTAACGCCCCCGGCTCACGGTCCCTCACCCTGCCCTGGGGGGTCCTCTCACACCTTCCCTCTGTTTTGGGATGAGGGAAAAGCACACCTGGGGTGACTGATGCCGCCTCCTTGCTGTAGCAGCTAAATAACCCACCAGCAACCGTTTTATCGATAATGGAATGTACTAACTGCTCCCTCTCAGGCAGGGGAGGCCAAGAGGGTGGGCGGGAGGGAAGTGGGAGCTGTCTGCTGGTGTTCAAAGTACCCCCTCTCTCCAGGGGATTTGAGTTCTGCCGGCCACACCCTGCAACCTTGCCTTGAGTTAAAGGGGCTTCCCCTCCGGTCCCTGAGTTCTCTCCTGCAGGTGCCTTGGATTGTGGTGCTCCACAGAGGGCAAGGGGAGGTGTGTCTTTGTGGCAGAGAGGCTCGTGCATGCTGCTGCCATATGCGGGTGGGTGACGGGGATGGAAGGGATTTCCCGCAGGAAAGGTTCCTCACCAGCAGGAGGAAGATGCCTGCTCCAAGCAGGGAGTAACTTCCTTCACGGTGGGGAGGCGCTTTACCTGGTTTATGTGAGGCCGTCGGTTTTAGAGGCAGAAGGAACAGCCTTAGGGCGGAGACCTTAGGGCCCCTGCGTTCTATTGCCAGCTCAGCCGCTTGTGCGTGGTGTGAGCCTGGGCACGTCTGCGTCACAGCCTCCTCTGCCCGCAAAATAGGCAACAAGGGTGCTCAAAGGCTGCTTTACTGGTTGGGCTTTGGGAGATCAGGAGCCAGCGCCCCCTACATGTGGCAAATCACTTAGTGGCTCTGTGCCTCAGTTTCCCATCTGTGCCACAGGGTTAATAGCAGTGCTGGGCTCTTCAGGGGGGAAAAATACAGCAAGGCCATTGAGATGCTTATTAGATGTGGGCTGTAGAAGCAGCAGACATTTGCCTCTTCTACTGTCTGGGGTAGGGGCTTTTGCACCCCCATTACGCACATTGTTTGGAGAGCCAAAGAACCAGACCCTGAGTATGCTGGAAACCACTTCAGGCCAGAGCATGCTGCTGCCCCCCCGGTACCTCTAATTCCAGCCCTCCTGATGTGGGGCCTCTCCTTTGCAAGACTCCCCGAATGCAAGTTGAAAATGAATCCCAAAAGGTGGTACTGGCCCTGTGACACACAGTTGAGCTGTTCTCATTGCCTCCACTAGAGGGCAGTGACCACAAGCACCAGGTTGCGAAGAGACCTGGAGCCAGGGTTGTGGTGCAGAGCACGGTTCCCCTTGTTACCTTGTCTCCTGCGGACCTAGTCCCGTGGTCCTTCCCTCGTCACCCAGAATGAGGCTCTGCAACAGGCTTGCAGCATCTCCTTCGCGGTGGCCGGGGACGACTGGCCGAGCAACGCCCGGCCTTCCGTCCGCCATGGAACATGCTTTGGGGGTTTGGTGTCCCTCGGTGAACGCTTGCTCCCCTGGTGCCCCGGGGCTACGCTATTGGGGCAACTCGTCTTAGCGCACCTCCGGACCCTGAGCAGAGCGGGGTGTCTGGGAGGAGGCAGTGCTGCTGGGCGTGAGAAGAGAGGAGAAAGGGGAGGGATGAAATGGATTCAAAATACAGCCCCTGCCCTATAGCTAGGGGGGCCATCTCCCACGCGGGCCGGGGCCGGATGAGGGACCCCCGGGAAAGCCTGGGCGAGGGCACTGGTCAGTCCTCCATTGTCCAGGGTGGCAAGTCCTTGAGGGAGAGTTTCTCCCAGTGACACCCTCCCCTGGGCCTCCCCACAAGGGGCCTGGACGTTGCCCGTCTTCGTCGTTCCGCCCACACCCCTCCCTTCCCTTCTCCCCTCTCCCACTCCCTGCCCTCCTCTGCAGAAACAATAAACTGCACTTTTTGTTTTGGAACAAGAAACACCGGTTTTTTTAATCGGGGTGAATGTAACTGGGGAAAGAACCTGGGAGAGTGAGGGGAAAGAGGGAGAAGAGGAGAAAGAAGAGGCTCAGGGTTGGAGCAGGGAGTGGCACCTGCGTTGGGTGGGCCCACTGCCTTTTGTGCAGGGCCCTCGGTGACCATGGGGCACTGTTGTCTTCAAGTCGTCATTGTCAAGTCCAAGTCGAGTCTCAAGTCACTACAGTTCAAGTCCCAAGTCGAGTCTTAATTTAAAAAATGTCCAGTCACTTTTGTACAAGCCATCAATATCGGCATTTTCGGACAATTTTTTCACCGAGTCGATTTAATAAAATGAGCAAATCTCAAGTCGAGTCTCAAGTCACAAACAACGAACCCGAGTCGAGTCTCAAGTCGAGTCACCTAGGCGACTTAAGTTGGACTCGAGTTCAAGTCGTGAGACTCGAGTCAACAACTCTGCCATGGGGGCCTAAGGGGAGAAGCCGAAGGAGCGGAAGCTAGTGTGGGACCACCAGGCGGTCCGTGACCATGTGGAAAACCGCACAGATGCTCTGGCCTCGCTGCAGCAGCTCCCTCCAGGTGTCGTGGTGCAGCTGGAGGTCCTCCTGCAGTCTCTGGTCCTGCTGGTCCATGGAGCACTTCAGGGCAGCGGTATGCTCCCTCTGGAGGTCCTCATGGGCTCTCCTGCGCTGGCAGGTCACACGGGGTTGGGAGGCTGGCACAGGAGGTGTGGACCATGCCCCACTCTCAGCTGGTCCAGCCGTGGACAACAAAGAGGGGCAGTCATCCCAGGAGACACTGTGCACGAAGCCTGGCCCTCGGCTCTGAGCCGAGAGCGAAAGGCCTCGGGCCAGACGATGGCGATGTGCTTTGAGCAAAGCCATCTGTGGCCTAGACAGTGGGCCCTTTTCTGCAGGGACACAGATGGCCCCGGGGGGAGGCATGGGACAAGCCAGCATGGGAAGGTGCCAGCCTGTGGGCGAGAGGGGGGCTATGGGGAGCCTGGCCTTCCCTCCATGCTGCGCACACGCCGGGTCCAGCTGAGGCGGTGTCCCACAGGGAGAGGACTTGTATCCCTGGCCGCTGGAGGAGAGGGAGGCCGGGTGTTGGGAGAAGGTGTGTGGGAGCGGCAGACACTCCTGTGCTTCCTGTGTTGTCCCCAGGAGCAGATGCTCCCCTGAGAGTGCGGGCATGTCCGTGTGCCGTGTGCGGCACGCCTGAGTGTGTGTGTGTGTGTGTGTGTGTATCCATGTCCCCAGCCTCCTTCTAGTGGTGACTTACTCCCAATAAGTCAGGCCTCTCCAGACAGCCTGTGAGCCAGAGCACAAGGCTCCTCTGTTGCTGCCTCCTGGGGATGTGTGCCCCGGCCTGGTGCCCGACATGCACAGGCTGAAAAGGCAGAGCTAGGAGTGCACCCCAGCCCCTTACTGCTCATCACCTCCACCTGTATGTGTCAAGGGATAGTAATGGCACTCACCTGAGGGGCTTTCCCCGGCCTCGGACAAGCTGGTGCTGGCCTTATCCAGCTCCTTCTCCTCTTCTTCACTGGCTGTGCTCCCTGAGAGGGTGCCGATGGGCATCTCCAGCCCTGAGTCCACAATGTGGGGGAAGGGACTGACCCATCCCCAGGATGTGGTGGAGCTGGGTGTAGTATGAACAGGTCTGCAGTTCCGCCCTGGAGTGGGAGCTGCTCCCTGGCCTTGGTATAGGCCTGTCTTAGCTCCTTGACCTTCATGCGCACCTGCTCCTGGGTGTGCACGTGTCCCTTGGTGGCCAGGCTGTCAGCCGTCTGGTCATTGATGTCCACATTCCTGTGCCTGGTGCGGAGATCCTGGAGGTTTGCCTCCTCTCCCCAGACCTCAGTGAGCTCCAGGATCTGTGCACCACACCAGGAAGGCGCATGCCTCTTCTGTTCCTGGGAAGGGTCCTGGGAGCTGGCTGCTGGCTCCCTTGCCGCCGTGCAAGTCTTAGTGGGAGCAACAGGGTCACTTGTGACAGCCGAAAACTCTGGCGTGGCAGCTAGGGGTGGCAGCAGGGTGAA